AAGCTTACATACAATTTTGATTAAGGGAGTGTTTGAAATTTGGTCACTTAGTTGTGTCGATGATAAGTGGATTTGGAAGCTGGAGTATAATATGGAATTACCTTCCAAGGATCGTATGTCTGTTGGACATTTGCCTTTTTCATATTTGGGGTGTATCAACTTTCTTATGTTTGAAATCAATTGTTGATGGTGATTCATTAATTTGAGGATCGTTAGGCGATGACTTTATCATGTTCAACCCTGATAGAGTTGGTCAATTCAAATTCATTCAGAAACCACCGGCTTTGAAGAAAATGTATGAACTTTTTATCGGTTTTTATTGGCCCCGATTTCTTTTCAGGTAGATCTTGTTTTACTTTTAGTTTATTATCAATATTTTATACAATTTTTCTACTGACCCTGATTTCTTTTCATGTAATTTTCAATCCTTCATCAGAATTAAATGATGATAATAATAAACTTTTTATTATTTCTTTTGTTATTAAATTTATCAATATATGTTAATAAGATTAATAAGATTATTCTTTTTTCTTCACAAGAATTATCTTATAAAATATTTTCATGTTTTAAATTCTAAATCCGACTAAATATTTTAAATATATATTTTTTAGCTATCAAGCTTAAGTAGATAGATATTGAAGATGTGGGTAAAATTGTGAAAAAAATAAAAAATATTTATGTGTAAGATGAACAATATTAAAAAATTAAAATCTTACTTATCGATCGTTGTTATCTTAAATCTAAAAAATGAAGTGGAATAAGTCGCAGTATGAATTAATCGTAAATCAATGATATAATTAAATTTTTCTTTCGTTTACCAATAATATTTTTGGAGTTATGGTTTCTTTTTTTTTTTTTACATAAGAACATAATTGTTGTAGGATTATTCGATATTCCAATTTAAGAATGGATGATTTGTTTAAATTTGATTTATTCTGGATGATTTAAAATTATGTTTCTTGCTTTGAAAAGTGTTTAGTTGCCTTATTGTAGAATAGTAGCATATAATTTGGATTATTTTTTTTAAGAACGTTTGAATCTTAAATTTGTTGAAATAGATAAATGATTTAACTACAATCGGATAGGCTTATAATAAATCTGTTAGTTAATTTTTGAATATATGTTAAATTATTCCAAACTTATATATTTTATATTTACACGTGATAAAGTATAGTTTTAATTTTTTTGTGTGAAAAAAAATCTGTCCGAATAAATTATTCAAATTCAAAAGTGTGCTGGAGTAGTAGATGTATTCAAATAAAGATTTATGTGCACATTTTCATTTGAACTTATTTTGAGAATTCATCTTTTTCTTATAAATGTCCTTATTTGTTTGATCATGTATAAGGAGTTATTGGTTAAGTTAACTACTCTTCCTATGCTTTCTAAATTATTTTAAATTATATACATTATGCCAAATTCTAATATTTTCTTCTCACAAAAAAAACTTATTGTCAGTGTTCCTTCTTCTTCTCCTTCAAGTAGAACCTTTCAGGAAATCCCTGATGATCTCCTTCCGGAGATTCTGACCAAAATTGATGTTAGATCAATACGTAATGCATGGTTGGTTCGTACAAGTTGGTATAAAATTCTTCAAAATTCTGCCCACATGTTGACCCTTAGAAAAAACCATCTTATGAATTCTTCTCAAAATTTGTTATTTGTTTGTCAATCTCCCGGTACCGAAATTTATCACCCCACTCTGTTTTTTGTGAAAATGAATGTGAAAGATCACATTCAGAAGATAGATTTCAATGTGTGGGTTGATTATGTCCGTACTAAAAGACCCAGCAAAAGTCATCCAGTCACATCTGATTTACTTCTGGTTCAATATCCTCCAGACTTTGATTTAATCAATCCTACTAATTCATCAATACATCCTTTCCCACCTCTGTTTGGGTTTTCGAGATCACACAGTCGCTCACATTTGAGTGGTGTCAAATTCACTTTTGGCTTGATGGATAACTTTCAAAGTTACGTTGTAGTCTGTATCCGCCATAATAGAAATGGTGAGTCCAATACCAAGTTTATAACTTGGGGAATCAATGATCCTCTTATTCCGAAAGATATGGAGTGGATAAGTATCAAATTAAAATGTCCACGATTATGTGTAATACCGGGCTTGTTTGTGTAGAATTTTGTATTTTGGACTATCGGTATTGCTCGCAGTGCTGCGGTTTCTCATCCTCAAAATAAAGAGCTTTTAGTATGTTTTGACATCATTAGTCATGCTTTCACTATTTTTGATGGTCCATGTAATGCCTCGTGGTTGAAGTACATACGATATGAGAATATGAGGGTATCTCTTCTTGATATTAAAGGTAAGTTCTGTATTGCAAATTCAAATTATACAGCTCATACTGATCACTTCGAAATTTGGAACCTAGACTTTCAGACATTTGAATGGAGTATTCTTTATGATGTTAAAAGTTGCCTTTTCATATTGGCATTCAACTTGGTCCATTTCCAGTTCCATTTTTTCATTTTTCGTAACTCCCAACTTTCTTGCGTCCTAAATCTTCCCCTTCTGGTGATCTCATTATGGGTGCAAGAAGTGGAGAGAAAATTATTATCTACAATCCTAGAAAGGAAGACTTTTACCGATCTGTCAAGAAACCAGCTTCAGTCAAGGGATTGCACCACTTAGTAATTGGGTTTTATTGGCCACGTTTAATGCGGATGTGATCGTGATTCTACTTCTAAATGTTTCTCTCATATATTTTTTACTTTATGATGTTTATCGTTTTTTTCATTCAGTTAATATACGGTTAATCGTATTTTATTAATTTTTTGAATAAATCATTTTCTTTATTAATAAATTTATTGCTTATCATTTTATTATTTGTTCTTATCGTTTTATCGTTGTTTATTCCATGTAGTTATGTTGAAGAGTCAAGAATATGCAATAAAAAATGTTGTAGTCCATACGATCTGTGAATAATAGAAAATTCTTCATGAAAAAAAATACTGTTTAAATAAGTTGTTTTTAATGATAGATACGATTATTATATACTGTATAATTCTTTTGAATATGATTTTTAATCCTTTAAGTTGTTCATATTAGTTCCATAACTTCTATCGATCTCAATTGATCGTATACTCTTACACGCAACATCACAACATCATTTCTTTTTTACTTCTTAATAAATTTTCAAGTCTGTCGATGATTCTTTTTTTTTAATTTTTTTTCATTAATAAATGTAAGGCCACATCACTCAGTGCTGGTTTTTAAGTCCAACATACTCATTGCCGTCAATTAAGTCATACACCATTTGGTTTTAAATGTTTGAAGCAAAAAATTGTAGCACGATTCAAAGATTTTTTTTTTTTTAACAGACTTGAATTCTTTTCCTTACCTCATCAACTAAATTTTTATTTTATGGTTAGAACCATAAGAAATAAGTAATCAAATTATTCGGTGATTCTATTTCAATGTATTATTTTAATTTTGTGAGGTTTTAAATTCATAGATTTTAGATTAGTATAACAGTTGTAGTAATAATCATGAATTATGAAATTTTGTGTCAAGAAAGAGTAGCATTCGATTTAGGAAACTATAATACATTTTTTGTTACTTTTATTGGGAAAAAGTATCATCAAATCTATTTTATTTTCTATATTTTGAATATTTTGTGAACATTATTTTTTGAGTTGTAGTTTTAACTTCATGACATTTCAATAACCTTTTTTTTTAATATAAGATTTATATCTAAGCTACACATCTATCTATCTTATATAGTAATATCTACACATACACGCAAGATGACATCAACACTACTTCTTCACTTTTTCAATCTGTCAATCACTTTCACTTTATTTTTTATTTTATCTTAATTAATTATTATCTATATCTTCTCCATAATTTCAGAATATTCATATTTCAACTATATTTATTTCACTTATATACTTTAAAACATGCATTGTTTTTATGGTTCTTCATACTTTAAAATTTCCATTTTCTCTTTTTTCGTATTATATTTTTCATTGAAGGAATTGTTATTAATTTTTTAATACTCATTCAAGTTAAAATATTACCTATTATAGGAATCTATTCTAATCTTCTACTAATCTATAACAACACGCAACATCACATCATTATTGGTTCCTCCATTCTTTCCATAATCAACGTAACTGAAAAAAAATTTAGAATTTCTATTCATTGACTTTTACAGTAAAAAAAAAATTTAATTTTGTATCGATCAATCTAGAATCATCATCACAATTATAGCTAGGTCTCTATTAATTTTGTACACTTACATACAACATCACGTCAACATTATTTCTTCACCTTTTATTAATTTTTCAAAACTGTCAATCAGTTCCTCTTTTTTATTTTAATTTTTTTATTAATTTGTATTTATATCTTCTCTATAAATACTGACTATTCCTCTTTCGTTTATATTTTCTCCATTCTTCATCTTTGACGTTTGCTTTGATTTCTTTTGTTTTCTCTTCTAGACAAAAATCTTCCTTTTTCCGGCAGTTTTCACACATCTGATTCTCCATTTCAACTAGTTAATAATCTTATTCTTTTTATTTCTCTACTGCATCTTTTCCATGGTTTTTTTGTTTTCAACTTTAAGACGAAAAATATTTTGTTTATTTTTCCGACAATTATTTTGTATGTTTCTTCTTATCTTTCACTGCTTCTCCTTCACTCCTTATCATCATTACGTTTGGGTCGATTCCGTCTTGAAAAAGTCAGGTATGGTATATGTCTACTACGTCAATTTTGTCATTTTTTTTGTGGTTTTGAGTTTTAATACATTTATAATTATTTTTCTAATTAATTTGGTAAAAATAATGACTAAAACTTCTATCTCATCTTATTTTTCAGTGACGTTAATATGTCCTTTTTATTTGAAATGATATTTACACTTCCGGAAGAGTTTGATGGTTATTTCATGGTAAGACATTGATCAATTCATGATTCGTGATAAATGTATTTTTTTATAAGGAAAAAATTATTTATATTATGTATTTTGTTTTTCAAATTTTAGAAACTTGCAAGTGCAGTCTATGAGTATTTCAAAGAACCGATTCCTCCGCATCTTAAGATTCGAATAGACGTTGGAGAATTTATTCTTCAACTTAGTGTAGTTGAGAATGATGAAGTTATTATCTATGGTGATAGATTTATTGATTTTACTCTAAGTGTTCGAATTACAAAAGGGAGTAGATTGCACTTGGAGTTTTTTGATGGTTACGTCATGTATGCAACTTCTTTTGGTGGTCTTGGATTTCATAAAATTATGTCACATCCTTTCAATTCAGTCGGTTTGAAGGCCATTTAAACTGCTCAATGTTGGGACCTCATTTGCGGTGGATTGACTGTAAGTTTTATTTTCTATAATTTTAATTGTTATTTTAATCGTGTAAAACATGATTAGGGTAGTGTTGTAAAATATTTGCACGTATTCATTTTTGACTGATTTGTTTTACATAGTACTTAAAGTTATGAAATGATATAGTTTCGTTTATTATATTTAATGTAGATATGTTATCAGATGATTATTTTAAGTCACTTAATTTCAAATAATTATTTTCAAGTACTTCCCAGTGTTTTTTTGGATGCAATTAAGTTCCCTAAAACCAAGAATGTCTTTGTTGAGTTAGAAGATCAAATTCTGGAATTTGAGTGGTACTCTGATAAAGATGGCATAAGTGGATTTTTTGGAAAAAAAAGTGGGCCAAATTCTGTATATACTATGAGCTACACAAAACAGAACGCATAGTGTTGCTTACTTATGTTCATGGATGCACTTTCCAAGTACCTATTTTCGACAAATATGGTTTTAATATTTATAGTTTGAATGGCTCTTCAGAAGATGGTGTTGATCTTCAAATGATGGTGAAGACTATTGATTGTAGTTAATAACTATTTATTAGTTTAAATATAGTGTAACATTATCGAATTTTTGGTTTAGTTCTATTTCGATTCGAAATTAGTTCATTTTTATTATCATGTTTTGTTCGAGCATTTAATCCGATCATGTTTGTTTCTACCTTCTTCTTTTACTATAATGTGAAACAAAAATCTTTAAATATTTTTTTCATAATAAAATTGGAATAACTAATCTTAGTTACACATATTCTAAATCATGGTATTTTATAAAATAAATAATATGAATTGGTGAATTTCAAATATAATTTACCGTTAGGATTACTGTTAATACATATTTATATTACTCTATACTTTTAATATTGAATTCATAAACTACAAAATTATATGAATTGGTTTCATGTTAAACAATTTATGTTGTGGTTCTACATTCTTTGTGTACCTTCTATCATAAGCTAATAAGGTACTTTTGTCTGTCAAATCAATTTATTTCTAATAGGACTTTTAATGGAGTAAACAGTGTTTCTGTTACAGTTCATTGAGTCATGCTGTTATTACATTCTATATATTGTCCTAACTAAAATTCTAGATAAAATCCCTTAAATTATTGATACAAATGAATCCCATAACTATTGATACAAATGAATACGCAAACATCTCATTAATTAAAAGTCCTTATATCTTTCGTTAAATTTTTATACTTTCACAATAACTCTTATTTAATTTTATTTCAACTACCTCTATTATTTTTTTCCTTTTTTTTAGTACTCCAAATTGTTTCTTCCATTTTTTTCAAATGTCTTCCATCTTTTGCTCGATCTCTTTGAAATTATTGGAATCAAACCACTCAATAATAAAAAAGCATTTTAAAAGAAAAACAAAAAAAAAATAAAAAATAAAAAAGCGTGTAGAAAAATGTTGATTTCAAATTTGAGTTTTTGTATTTACATACGATAATCGAGAACTTTAATTTATCATCATATTATATAAATAAATTTAAATTTAATTGTAATACAATGTGATAATTATCATATAAGTAAAATACCTATCAAAAATATGTTTTAGTTTGATCATTAAAATATCCTCATTGCACTTTTTTTGAATTCCAATTTAAAAAGTTATAAATATCCATTCCCTTTCACTGTACATACTACATTCCCTTTCATTATTTTACTACAACATAATCTAATTTAAATCTAAACTAGGGGTGCTGATTACTTGCGTCAACCCGCCCAACCAATCGAACCAAATTGAAACCTGGCGAATTGAGTCAGGTATTCGGTTGATTTAGGGGGACTGTGGTTTCACCCGATAAACCGACATCGTTATACGGTTCGGGGGTGGTTGATGGATCTGTTGTTCGAGGACCGCCCGATAAACCGAATAACATATTTTTTAATTAATGTTTTTATTCCATATATAAGCTTAACGAAAATTTAGGGTTTCAGTTTCCCCATTTTTCTTTCCTAACTCTCTGTTCTTCTTCGTTCTCCTCTGGTTTCTTCGACGCTGTCACTGCCAACCAGGCTCCGCCGTCGATTTCCACCGTATTTTCCGCCTCCACCGTCCATTTTTCACCTCAACAATCGACCAATTGGTCCAATTCCTCCAACAATCCCAAAAATCCAAATCTAGGGTTTCTTCTTCTTCTTCATCGTTTCTTCGACGCCGACGACGATAACGAAACGCCGCCATCAATTCCTACAATTTCTACCTCCACAATCCAGTAATCCACCACCACCAATCCAATTCTAGGGTTAAGGGTTTTAAACTTTCAGTTCACCTTTCAAAATCGATTTTTTTTTCAATCGAAGAGCTTAAGCCTTCTTAAGCCTTAGCCCTTAAGGTTAATCGGGTTAGAGATGCTCTGAGGAGTGAAGACTCGAAGGATTCGATCTGGATTCATAACCCTTTAAGGTAAACCGTCCCTTCTGTTTAAAAGAATAATCTTTTAGCCTTTAAGCTTTTGTCTTTTGATGCATAAGTTAGTAAGTTAATACATGGTAGTAAGTTACTACATACTAATTGTTTCATTATTTTTGTTTTCTTTAATTACAGGAGGAGTGGAGGACTGAGGTCTGAAAGGTGAGAATTGAAGGCTTGGAGCTTCAAGCTGTTACTGTTTTAAGGTAATAGTTTTCTTTTTTCTATTTATCTTGTTGGTCTTTCATTTATCCTGAGTTTCTGTAATTCTGTATGACTGTTTCTGAACAAATATGCATAACCAGTAGTTAGTTTAGTACTTTTGTAATTTTTTTAGTTACTTCACTGAGGCTGAGACTCAATTGTGACTGTCAAATGGTGATTGCATTTGCATGTGAACTGTGATTGACTGATTGTTGTTGTTTCTGAAAAATGCTACCTACTGGTAATTGACTGTCAAGTGTCAACATCTTCATTCATTGTAACTGTTAACTAAACTGATGATTGATGATGTTAACTGGTAATTGAGTGTCACTGGTTGAACCAGTCTGTTCATTGACTAAGTGTTAACTGTCTAACTGATGATTGAGATTTGAATATTAACTGGTGGTGATTGACTGTTGTTTTAAGGTCAGTTGTTACTGTTAACTGACATGCTTTTTTTTTCTTTTGTAGATGTCATAAATTGGAATAGAATATGACTTTGATGACAACATTGACATTGACTTTGCTGAACATCTAGAGTGCCACGTGGCAGAAATCATTTTGTACTAAAAAGATCTTTGGCGGAAAAATTTTCAACGTGGAGCTGACACATGTCCTTCTTGTATACTACTTTAATTAAGTACTATAGATATATACACTTTGCACATGATAACTATAAACGGCGCACTTTTGAAGCATAAACTTTATTATTATTATTATTATTATATTTGATACTAGTTATAGGCCCGTGCGTTACCCGGATTGTGGAAATATTTTGGCATAATTAGTGCAGGAAAAAAACTTGACAACAAAGTGAATAATAAAAACACTGCACATATATTTTTAAAATTTTAGAAAAAAAAAAAAATTTCAAACAGTAAGTAAATACGAAAATCTGTAATGGCCAAACATTTTTTCTTTATTATGATTAAATATGGTAACACATCTATAATATGTTAGAACATATAAAGGGCACGATATCATTCAACTTTTTGTTATTGATCAGATAACTTGGAGAACTTGAATCCACAGGTAGAAGGAGAATCAACCAACTCTGGAATTTTTGAAATCCTAATATTGCGTTTGAACATTACCAATATTTTTGCAATTGTTAAACTTATATATTAGATCTTTTTAAATCCAATTACAGTTTTGTTACCCTACAAAAATCAGAAATACATCAAAAAATAACAATAGTCAGTGGTCACACACCTGGAAAAAAAGGGTGTATGGTCTCGTTTATACATCACTTAGCAACACGGTCATCTCATCAATCTGCAATACAAAGTTATTGTAGGAAAAAAAAAGGATAAATTACCTTAACCAAAATTACAATTAAGTGACTAATTCACCTTTCAAACAGGACGGAAATTGACTTCACTTATGCACGAGACTGCTGTCACGGCCTCTAATTTGGGTTATTTATAGCACATAAGATAACTATGGTCGTAGGGTTTAACATGTTATGAGATATTTTTGGTAAATATTTTATATGAGTAATTATATAATTTTGTGGATAGGTTGAAACTTTAGACTTTAGTGATAGAATTTAGAGCAATTAATTAACATATTTGGGGAGTTTGTGAATATAGACGGAATATTATTCTGGTTAATTTAACCATAATTTTTTTAAATAAATTTCATTTATTAATTTTCGAATGTGGGAGGGAATTAGGGTGTTCAATTCAAATCTCATTATTTTTGAATTTTAAAATCATATCATAATGTGCCATAAATTTGGAAGTCATATTTGGAAATGATATTTATTGTATTTTTTTGAACATTCTGAAAGCGTTTGGAAACATTTCAAAATCACGGATGATGTGCCATACGTCCGGACCATGTTCAATGTTAACTAATTATTATATTTTTAATTTACCTTGGTTAATGAAATATATATGAGCAAATAAGTTAAATTAAATAGTTACCAATTTTTTTTTACTATATCTAATTAGGCTTGATTTTATGATTGTTTCATTGGACATCTCATTATATGACATGTGTCTAAAAAGCTTATTCTCTTAATATATAGGAAGTTTACACTTGATTATTTATAACTACACATTTTCTTATTCGACTAGTTCTTGATGCTTAGTGATCAATGCCTATTAATTATGACCCAACAACCGAGGAGCTGTTTGAGACTCTCCAAATAAATAAAAATTTCTGGGAAATATTATTTACTTTTAATTTGTTTTTCTTTTTGGTACAAGGAAGTAGCCTAAATACCTTGAATAACGACT